GAAATTATCAGTACTTTTTATTATTTGTTGTATTAAATTTACATTGTTATTGTAATGTTTATTCGTAAAAGTATTTGAAAGTAATTGTATATTATCAAAAATAAGTGAATTAACTCAGTTAATGATTTAATTAGTATGACTATCAAATTCGTTCATTTAAAATATTATGAAAATGGTGTTGAGTAGAATGATATGACTTTTTTGAGAAACTATGAGAAACAAACATTGTAAAGACATGTATTTCTTCACAAACCATTCTCTTCCATTTCTATATTTATACTAATATAAATATATTCAATTATTAAACGACTCAAACAATACTTAATTAAAGAAATTTATTAATAAAATACATTGAAGTTAAAGAAATGATAATAAAGCACTTCTTTCTTTTTCAATATGTGTTGAATAAACACTTTGAATAATATATTTATGAATGTTCATTCTTTTAATAAAAAAAGATTCTTCACACTTATCAATTTAGATTATTTTGATTTCAGATGATATAGAGTTATAAAACTTCTCTCTTTCTCTGATTTGTGTCTAGTGTATTTAATTATAAATAATGAAATTGAAATACCAAGAAGTGGTAATAATGATGAAATGCTTATGTTAATATTCCGTTTTATTATTCATTGTTTCAAAGACAAATCATTTTGAATTTTAAATAGATAATAGAATAATTAATCTTCTATAATTCTTCTTTGTTAATTGGTAATGAACTGTTAATGAAAAGAAAGTTTTTGAAACAAAGGAAATATCAGAAAGTCTTTGGTATGTCTTAATTTAATTCTAAATCATAGTAATAATTATTGTCTCTTATATAATAATCTTTTAAACAATATTTGAATAAAGTTATTCATAACAAACAATATCAATTCCATTTCAAAGACATTATTATATATTCTTATTTTCAAAAGAATGAGGTATAATGAATTATAGTCTTATTTGAATTTATAAAAATTTTTAATTACATAAATATTTCGTAAACTAAAAATTAACATCATTCAAAAAAAGAAGAGATTTAAAAATGAAAAGAAATGAAAGAATAAATAGAGGAAAGTTGAAGAATTTTAAGACATTTGTTTGAAATGAAGAAGACGTTGTTTAACAATTTGGATTTCTGTATCAAGTTCTTCTATTCTTTTGTTTCTAAGAATAAGGATAATTGACTTTAATAAAGAACATTCAGGTGGAACTTTATCCAAATACTTCTTTTCAATTACTGTCCACTGACTAAAACACTCATCTGGACTATATAATCTAACGTTAACATGGCTAAAATAAGACATTGTCTTTATTACTAACTCACTAACTAATCTCCATTCTCGATAGTCATGTGGAAAATAATAATCAATTGACTCTA